AAGTGAATTGTTTTTTTCCAATGCTGAAGAGCAGCTGTTTCAACCGGTAAAGTTTGCCCCATACTGTTTATTCTTAAGTATTGTCCTTTATATAGAAATGTCTGGGCAACCATGGGTAACAAAGGTAATGAGACAAATAAGTTGGCACTATATTAGACACAGACTGAGAAAAAAAAACCCACAGAATCACCCAACACCCATTAAATTGGAAATAAAATGATTGAGGAGGGGAGGATGTCACACACACAAAATCCTTCTTAGTATTCACTAGCTGTGAACTCCAGCAGAAAATTCTAGCTTTCGTTCACTTCTCCATTTTTCTCTTGTTCTGGAATTGTTGTTGTTGGGTGAGGAGTGTGTGCACATTTGTTTTACAAATGCGGCTGGTTGAAATTTTGTTGTTGCGGGCCTTTGTTTCCTTATCTCCTATACAGATGTAATTCAACCTCAAAGGAAACACCCCTTATTAATCACCTTTCATGCGTGTTGGGTGGGAGAGACAGCAGGTTCATTCTCCCCACCCAACCAGTGGGCCCCCTCAACCCACATGGGGACTCACTAATTGTAATTTTATCCTATAGTTTAATAATAATGTTGTTGTATTTATCATATTCTTTAGTTCACTTATAGTATAATTTATCCTATTCAGTAAATAAAGATTGCATTTTGCATTAGCTTATCTCTTTCCCACTCACATTTATTGGTTATGTATTGTATTTATTCTTCTAGATGGCAGAGTTCAGCTACACATTTTCCGTTGCTGACCAAAGAGACACAGTGTCAGATGGGTCCTGGGATGAAGACGGTGGTGAATTTGAGTCACTTCGAACAGTTATGGTCTTCGATGCAAGTGTTTTGGGTCAGATGATAGTGAAACTGCAAACAGAGCTACCGGCATGATGATTGATCTGTCATTTTCCGTGGCTTCTGCTTTCCTACAAATAGAAATTAATGATAGAATATACTTTAATTATTACTAGACTTGTAAAAAAAAATGGTAAAATCTTTTGTCTTATTTTAGGATATCATTAATATTTAAGAATATTGACCGAATGTTACACCCAAAAGTTTTGAAATGTGGGTATCAGCACTTATAAGACAAAGAAGATGGCACTCTATTGAGCACATCATGAAAGGAAAATGTGCTGAGAGTTGCTAAAGAAGCACTGAAATAGGAAACAAATGGATTGGCGACATCAGAGAGAAACCTATAATGAATGTTGAGAGAAGGCAAAGGTGTTGAATTAGATTCACAGTGCTGCTCTCATCTGAAATAAACAAATATAATCTATTGCATAAATTGCTATTCTTATACTGTCTTTGCTATAAATATTTGTATTGACCATTTTGATACAGAGGTTACTATTTATGGATTAAAATCATACATCTGTAATTTGCCATTCTGCTACTAAGTTGAGTAGTTTGGACAGCTCTGTGCTTTTTAAGCTTCTTGAGACAGTTCTGTTAGTGTATTTTTATCTTGACTCTATTTAAGCAATAAAGACAGTATTAAAATAATAATAAGTAAAAACTTTAAAACGTTAGTGATCTTTTCCTTAATTTTCCTAAATACTGTAAAATATATTAAAAAAACAACAGCTTCTTTAATTTAAAAGAAAAATCATAATTGTTTAATTTGTCTACATTTGTTCCCAGCCATGTTATTGCAAACCTCTGTTTCCTGTTTTCTTTTCTGAAATGAACATGACATTATCTTGAGATGAAAAGAATAAAATCAATGACATAATCTCTCTGTTAATCATTTCATTTATTTGTTGACCTGTTTTGTTAATTTGTTTGTCTTAGTCAGATGTCACCAAGTTTTAAAAAAGGGATAAATAAACAATGCTGGCATGCATCAGCAGTTCTTAGTTAAAGTAAATAGAAATACTGCTTCAGAATATTGTTTGTAAAAATGGAACAAACATAAGAAAATGTATATATAAACTTGATAAAATCCTAAACAAAACATATTTTAAATTACTGTAGCCTAACTTGTTACAGTTCATTTATTTAAAAATGAAACCATTGTTTTTATTTTACAGTGCGCACAGAGGTTAATAAAATGTTCAACCGGCACTGTGTTTGCCACAGTACCCCGCCCCTCTTTTTTTTTTTAAAATACTTCTTATCTTTGACATATGCACAGCAGTCAAACATTGTTTGCTGGAACTGTGAAACATATAGTGCTCTAGAAGGATTTAGTGATTTTTTTTATGAACTAAGGCAGGCCTTATTCAACCAATTTTATTCAAAGGCTAAAATGATGAATAGTCCTGAACTAGGGGAGGGCTACTGATATTAAGCTACAAGTATAAGGAAAGAAAAATAGACTTGCTGTATTGAATGTTATCGATTGAAAATAGGGGGCGCTGCATTTCCACAATACCAATACACGAGCCGCTGCTGCTTGTATGTCCCGGCAGAAGTACCAGCAATCTTTTTCTTCTTCTCTGTTAAAAAGTGCTCCGTCCCCCCATCTTCAACAGCCAGCACAGAGTTCTAAAGCTAGTAGCACCCTGATTATATGTCCATCTTGCCTTTCCTCTGAGTATTGGGTAGGTCCCCTCATCACTGCTCGCTGCACTAGACTGATAATCAGTGTGCTGTTCTGGATTGTACACATGTTCCAATAATTCCTTATCATGCATCAGTATTCTACCTAGTTGTGCAGAGCCAGCCAATCTGTCCCCAGTTCATTTCCCATCACATGGGTATTCCCTGGAAAATGATCTAGACAATGCTCTTCACCCATGACCTCTGAGTCAATTACAATCACGTGTAGTGTTCTCTAGCCAGCAGAAAGCTGCAGTGACCGTGTCCACCTCCATTCTCAAGCAGGATGTTGTATAATACGCTCTACTGCACTATTCGTCATTCATTAGCTTTAAGCTACTTCTTTTGTATCTTGACACTGTACCATCTATATAAATAATCATATAAAGTTAGCATTATCCTGAATTAACTGCATAATTTCCACTTCTGTGGCACCTGTTGTCCACTTCCTGTACTCATGGCACATCGCACATACACTACAGGGATTGTAACGCATGCAAGCTATCACTTACTAGTGCTACAATGATAGCTACACATGCATATTCTCAACAGCGAAGTAAAGAGGAGGGAAATATCACGGCATACTTTCTCCAGTGTATTCGTTGCCTGCTTAGGCTTACACATGTGAATTGGTCACTTCTAATTAGGGATGTTTTCTTCTAAGTCGGAGTGCATCTGCCTAAGAGGCAAGGAATGAAGCCTGCATACAAATAAACCAGATCTGTAAGAATAGATGTGCACACAAAATTGAAGTTCTGGAACATGACTTAAGTCCAGAAGTAGACGAACAACCAGAACTTTCCGGCCGAGTTTACAGCCAGCGAACACAAAGAAGAAGATTATTGCCTCATTTAGTCATCCGAAATAACATTCGTGGACTGAAGAACTTCTTCACATTCACCGGCTGTTAACTCCAGCAGAAAGTTCTGGTTGTTCGTCCACTTCTGGACTGCAGTCCTGTTCCAGAACCTGAGTGTTGTGAGTGTATCTGTTTGACAGATCTGTATGCAGACTGTTGGTTCCTTGCCTCTCAGGCAGATGTACTCCGACTTTGAAGGAAGCTCCCAATTAGTCGAGTCTTACGACATGCTTTTGGGTAGGCAGTGGGTCTGTTCTTGTTTATCCCTGAACCCACACAGGGAACTGATGACATGTATGTTTTTGAAGACTTTCTGGCCACACCGTTGATTTTGTTGTGATATTGCGAAACAGACTAAATCTACTTCTCATTTGGATTAATATCATGTCGTAAACTACAAAGATTATTTAATGCTTGGTCAGACTAGAAGTTAAGTGGAGTAACTGTAATGATACATTAGCCCAGTGTCACTTGCAGTCCTGTATGGGAAAAGATTTATCAGTGGATGCACATTCTCAGTCCACACGTTTGCCCTCTCTGGGCTTTTGTTCCTGCGCATCTTCCTCAAAACCTGTATTTGAATTTCTCGCTTGCATTAGTGCTCATATGGTGTTCAAATGTTATGTTATTGCAGTCGATGAAAATGCACACTTGAGTTATTTCCTATTTCCATGCCTGCTCAGCCCTCTGAGATAGCAGCTGTCCAAGGGTACCTCTGCTGATTCACATACCTCACCAACCACTTACGTAGTATATTGTTCACATGCCTCCTCGTGTTTGCTGTTTCCCATGGAGGGGGGGGGGGGATTAAAACAGACTTAAGGCTACTTACAAACCCAGGCGATGTGATTATACAAATGGCCCGCATTGAGACGTAGACGAAAAGCATGGAAGTTCATAGCAAAAGAGAATGGACGTCGCTTAGTGCAACGAAGCCTTGCATATGAAATCACAACGTCTGGTTTGATAACGGAGGTGGAGGCAATCACTGCTGCCTATTGCTGGATTGAGAATCAGCTGTGCACACATATAATTTTAACTGACTTACAGAGCATGTTGAGAAAGATGGAGACAGTCATGCTCTGTGAGGAGTGGCAAGCATCGCTTCAGAGGTCCCGGGTAGTTAGCGTCCTTTAGATAATTTCTACAGGTAATGCCAGTGTGTTGGGAAACGAGCAGTAGGATAGCCTGACTGGTTCTGCACCACTTCGTGGTCTGATGTATGACAAGCTAGATGTTTGGAAGCGATTGAACAGTGAGGAGGCACACATAGATTATTACGGTCTGTGAAGAACAGCGCTGCGGGGAGTTACCAAAAAGATTAACAGTCGAGGGAAAAACGAGACGGGTGTACATTCAAACAGTTACTGGTATCATAGGAATTGAACTCTTCGCTTGCTGTTGAAGATGTGGACGTGGCGCTTATAGGGGTGTCCCGAGTGCTCTGATGTCGATTCTTAATTCAACACTCTACCAGCAGCCGACTGACTACCCATCCCATAGTTACTGGCGAAGGTAGACAACTCCAGCTACGTTGCGTCATCCGTTAAAAATGGCAGAGAACGTGGCCGTCGACGTTGAAAAAATGAACATTTCTGATAACAAAAAGGCAAGATTGTGTTTCTCTCTGACACTGACATATGTCTATTAGCTTAAATTGGTTTCTAATTTGGTCCATGCCAATAAATTTATCTGACATACCTAGTACACCTTTATCTGCTCGAACTTTTTTTTTTTAGATAGAGTAAAAGTAAACGGGAATTGAATTGTCTCTTGAAATTGATTCGATTCATTGAGTGAGGTTGGTTGTGTGTCATATATTTGACTTATAACACACCAACTCATTTTCTGTTGAAACAAATACCTTATAATTTTTTATAATAAATGTAAATTTTTTAGCACGACAAAAGTAAATAACTTATTAGTATTAATACTATTATTACGATAAAATTGTAATGTGCAATTAACATTTCATTTCCTGGAGGTATATCATATCAATATCAGTATATGATGATATACTATATCAGATCATGAGATGCCTAACCATTCTCATCTTATAGACATAGTATTATACTATAAGTTAGAGAAACAGTAGGTTTTTAAAACAAAATGTAGGAATTTAAAAATTGTATCAAATTCAGTAATTAAAATCACAGTCCAAGTGCAAGAATAACATGTTACTGATTCTGCATATATAATTAAAGCTACCTCCCTAGCAGCCTGAGCCATTATCATTTATCATTAAATTTATGCTTTTTTGACTACCAAGTATGAAGTCTTTCTCAAGCGGAAAAAACAAAATTCAGCAACACTAACACCAAAGCAAATGAAATTTAAAATAATGAAATTCAAAATAAAGAAGATATACAGTGATATACAGACAAATTGAAAGTAATTTGGGAAACTGAGAAATTTTAAGAAAGAATAGTATAATTTACTATAACATAGCACTTCTTACAGTTAAACTTCTTTAACACACATTTTGCCACTCTTCCGAAAAACATCCCTCTGAGAGGCTCAAGAGGTTATGTAGTAAAAACATTTAGGCCATCATCATCATTTTCCACTTCTGCCGCTATTGCTCAATAGATAGAAATTTTTGGCTGTTAAGCTAAACAGCGTGAGGAGGAATAGATTTAGATCCATTGTTGAAGCGGCGTGGGGAGGAGTTGTTTTCGATCCATTGAAGCGACGTAGGAATAAATGATTTTTGATCCATTGTTCACATTACCCGTGACTCCCATTGTGGGTTCCAGGGCCATATGTTTGAGATAAATAAAAAAGAATTGATCCACTGCCACCTAAATAGCATGTTCTAAAAGGTGCAGATATCACAGCCTAGCTGTAAACCACAACACAACGTGCCAGCCGCTCTTTTAAGGAAAAAAAAAACTATCACTCTTCGGGGGATCGAACACAGGTCACTTGACAGGCTGAATGCTTACATGGGCTATCTTCCGAATAACAGTCCCAAATTATCAAGGCCGAAAATATACCCTAACAGGGCCTTAATCACATGTCAATTGCGGACTTCCGGCCACTTAAATTGTGCACTTCCGGCGACTTCCGCCACCGCCGAGAGTATCTCCCAGGCCGCTATACGCGGCATGGATTGGGGCTAAACTAGATGGTTGGGACTCAGGAGCAGCAGCTACCACATCTCCTGCAGCTTCCTTCATTTTATTTGCTTATGAGTCCCAGCCATCTAGTTTAGCCCCAATCCACGTAGCGGTGTGGGAGATACTCGTGGCGGTAAAGTCCCTGAAAGTCCGCAATTCGGCGTTGGCGGTATATCTCTGGAAGTCTGCAATTGACATGTGACTGAGGCCCTGTTAGGGTATATTTTCGGCCTCGATAATTTGGGAAGATAGCCCTTACATGTAATACTGAAGATTCGAGGGTTCTGTTTAAATTATATAATAACGCGAAGTTCGTAGTGTTCCTACTCCAGATTTTTTAATATGTGACCTCTTGAGGCCCTGAATGTAATTTTTGTAACAGTTGATAATTTGGGGCCGTTATTCTGCAGAGTTCCCTAATTTCAAAGTACTAAAAATAGAGTGTAAAAAAATGTGGTTCATGTTAACAAGGTTTTTTTTTGTAGGCCTATAGTACAGTTGAATTTTTATAAAATCACCTACTTTGAACCTGCGATGCGATGCCCTCTCTCTTTTTTCAGTACCATTCCTAGTTTCCTCCTCTGTGCACAAACTTGCAGAGCCTTATTTATCACATTTATTGATTTTGAGATATTGTAATTCATTGATGTACTTAACACAATTTCAATTTACAATAAATATTTAAAAAAAACACACACCCTAGGATGTCAGAAAATAACACATCTCAAAGGAGTTCATAACTCCACAGGTATCTCCACAATGCTGTGAATCTATTTTTTTTTAGATATTCTTCACCTTGTGTGAGGGTTCCAAGGCCCATTGTGGGGTAGGTGTGTGTGGAAAATCAACCTATACCCCCCTCCTCCCAAGCATGTTGAAGAAGGCAGCTGATTAGGGATTTCTAGACGTTACAACACTAATAGTTAGGGTGTGGCTGATCAAGTGGTTACAACACTAATAGTTAGGGTATGGCTGATCAAGTGGTTACAACACTGATAGTTAGGGAGAATATGAGGGGGACCATAATATATGAGGATTCATCATCTCGACCCTTCCAGATTCAAAATGGAGTAAAGCAAGGATGTGTTCTGGCTCCCACGCTGTTTGGCATCTTTTTTACCGCATTATTGAGGCGTGCATTTGGGACAGCAACTGAGGGGATATACCTCCGTTCGAGGTCAGATGGCAATCTTTTTAATCTGTCCAGGCTACGTGCAAGGACGAAGGTGCACACGAGATGCCTCAGGGATTTTCTGTTTGCGGATGATGTAGCCATTGTGGCACATTCAGAGGATGATCTGCAGATCCTGATGAATCGCTTTGCAAATGCTTGCAAAGAATTTGGGCTTACCATCAGTCTGAACAAAACACAAGTGATGGGATTGAATGTTGGAAATCCACCAAACATTAGTGTGCATGACCATCAGCTGCTGGCTGTAAATGAGTTTGAGTACCTAGGCTCAAGTATCTCAAGCAATCATTCTCTGGATGCAGAATTAAACAAACGTATAGGAAAGGCCTCTGCTATGTTTGCAAATCTCACAAAGAGAGTCTGGTCAAACAAAAAGCTAACTGATAATACAAAAATGAAGGTTTATGAGTCTTGTGTCCTGAGCACATTACTTTACGGCTGCGAATCCTGGACTCTCTATGCTCCACAGGAGAAAAGACTGAATACCTTCCATATGCGCTGTCTGAGACGCATCCTTGGTATATCATGGAGAGACCTTGTCTCCAACGAATGTGTGCTCACAAGAGCAAAAATACCATCAATGTATTGTATACTGAAGCAAAGACGTCTGCGCTGGCTGGGACATGTCTCCCGCATGGAGGATGGCCGTATTCCAAAAGATCTTCTATATGGTGAATTGGTAACTGGGAATAGACCTACAGGAAGGCCAAAGCTGCGCTATAAAGATGTATGCAAACGTGACCTAATAGATACCAACATAGGCACAGAGACAAGGGAAAAATCAGCTGCAGATCAACTACTATGGAGACAGAAAGTGAAAGACGGACTGTCACATTTTAAAAGAAACCGAACACAACGAGCTGTGGAGAGGAAACAAAAGAGAGTAAAACGGCCTCACAACGAGGGAGTATCTGCTTTTGTGTGTATCCTGTGTGGCAAAGACTGCCATTCCCGCATCGGACTATACAGTCACAGCAGATGCTGTTCCCAAAACCAGCGGCACATCTCCATAGTCCCCCGGGACTGACGGATGCCATTATAGTTAGGGAGTGGCTGATCTAGTGGTTACAACACTGACAGTTAGGGTGTGGCTGATCTAGTGGTTACAACACTGACAGTTAGGGTGTGGCTGATCTAGTGGTTACAACACTGACAGTTAGGGTGTGGCTGATCTAGTGGTTACAACACTGACAGTTAGAGTGTGGCTGATCAAGTGGTTACAACACTAACAGTTAGGGTGTGGCTGATCTAGTGGTTACAACACTGACAGTTAGGGTGTGGCTGAACTAGTGGTTACAACACTGACAGTTAGGGTGTGGCTGATCTAGTGGTTACAACACTGACAGTTAGGGTGTGGCTGATCTAGTGGTTACAACACTGACAGTTAGGGTGTGGCTGATCTAGTGGTTACAACACTGACAGTTAGGGTGTGGCTGATCAAGTGGTTACAACACTAACAGTTAGGGTGTGGCTGATCTAGTGGTTACAACACTGACAGTTAGGGTGTGGCTGATCTAGTGGTTACAACACTGACAGTTAGGGTGTGGCTGATCTAGTGGTTACAACACTGACAGTTAGGGTGTGGCTGATCTAGTGGTTACAACACTGACAGTTAGGGTGTGGCTGATCTAGTGGTTACAACACTGACAGTTATGGTGTGGCTGATCTAGTGGTTACAACACTGACAGTTAGGGTGTGGCTGATCTAGTGGTTACAACACTGACAGTTAGGGTGTGGCTGATCTAGTGGTTACAACACTGACAGTTAGGGTGTGGCTGATCTAGCGGTTACAACACTGACACTTAAGACACTGGAAATCACAAGGTCAGAGAAATGAAAGGAGACCCAAAAAGCAGATGGAGAAGGGAGCTGGAGAGTGAAGTTAAAAAGATGGGAAGAGCTGCATGCGATATCAAAGGATATAATGACTTGGCATGAGTTGGTTGAGGGCCTGTGATCCGTTGCGAGCTAGAAAGGTAGAAGATAAGATTAGGGGTTTGCCGAAATCAGATGTATTGAACTGAAAGGTGCAGATATCGCAGCCTGGCTGACATTTTGTTCTTTAATCTTCTCTTCAAATGAAAAAACCCAGCATTTTTGTGTAGTTACAAATTATGTTCCAGGCTTTTATTAGCTTTTTCCAGGCTTTCATTATTACCTTTAATTATTACCTCTTATGAATATATACGATTTTCCACAGGACTTTACATAAGAAGAAGTTCAACAAAATATTTAATTATTTAAAACACAAATTTTCTTGTTGTAATCCTTGTAATTTTTTTTTTCTAATAGAAAGGAGCCAGCAAAACTAAAAATGTTGATGGTGGCAAAAAACCAATTGAGGTATGTTTGACTGTTTTGTTTATGTATGTATTGGTGGGTCAGTTGTGCCACACTATTTCAATTGTCAGATGCTTGCCTGTTGGCACAACGAATGTGGGTTTGAATCCATGGCTGCAAAGTTTTATAATTGACCTTGGTTTCTAGGTCGACCCAGCCTACAATGGGTATCAGGAAATGTCATGGGAAGTAAAAGCAGCCTGTATGATATATTGATCACATCACCTAATGAATACTGGTTTGGCTATAACAATATTGCAAAGCATCATATACTCAGTGCACCTTCTTCTTTTGTTTTACTGGCCCTTGCCATATAGCATCGCAGGGAGGAGTTAAGATGGAGTCTTCTGTCTTTTGCTAGTTGCATAGCTTGTGTTAATGTCATATTGCCTTTTTGTAGTATCTTTTTTACTCCCACCACCCATCTCTTTCTTGGTCAGCCTCGTGGCTTTTAGCCTGCTGTTCTTATGTAGTTCGCTCTAGCTGCTGGCTGCATTTATTCTGTTCTGACCAGATGACCAAACCATTTCAGTGTTCAGTTCTCTGAATGCACCATAAGCATGAAAAGAGTCTTTAATTTAAAAAAAAATGCTATGCTAGTGTCAAAGTGTAACATAACAGCATCAAGCTGGAGAATGTTAACTAAGTCGTCTAAGATGCATTCACACTCAGATAATTTTTAATTCTGAAAGAGAGTGTGCAAGCAAAAATGCCCTTGACAGGTATGAACAGATTCAGTAAAAATTAGAACACTATGTAGAAGCTTGAAAATTGCAGAGAAATTGTAAAACACACAATCCACAATAACAAAATAATGCATGCAAGAATTATTAACCTCATTAAAAATAACATTCAAATTAAATTAACACAGCCAAACAAACAAAATCATAAAGATCAAAGATAATATTTTAGAGTCAACTTATGAGAAAAACCATATCGAGTCACGCGAACAGTGGTTTACTATTTCCAATAACAGCAAGGGACCACATATTTTGAAGATGGAATTTGACGTCCTTAACCACTGGGCCCATACAACATCAGAACTGAAATGATCACTTCCCTATGTGGGTTCTGGAGCCCCATTGGGGGAGAGAAAGGGGGGGGGGAGAGAATAGAACCACTGCTTCCCAAACAAACATGTTGTAAAAGTCGACTAATTAGGGGTGTTTTCTATTAAGTCGAGCAACGACAGACTACTGAATATAAAATTGCTTAGTTGAACTCCAAACAGCTAATATATACTGAGGCTGGTTTGTGACATCATGATATGCAAATAACTTTTATAACTATACTGTAACACATCACCCTTCCATCCAAAAAACAAAATACTTTGAATTAATGAAGAAGGAGGAAGTAATAATAATTTTTTAAATTTGAAACAACATGGTCGGCTTATTCGCACCAGTAGAAATGGCTAAATAGCTTTCACATGTGATGCCGAAGATGAATATTGAGCATTAAGTAGTAAGACAAGATCACAGACACTGAGGTATTTGAAAGAGCAGGTGTCACAACAGTTTTCTCAGTGCTCAGTCTTCAAAGGCTCAGCTGGCTGGGTGAGAGATGGAGGATGGTCAGATTCCTACAGACATCCTCTGTGGTGAGTTAGATGTGGAGAAGATGTCGAGGCCAGCCTCTAATATTATATAAAGATGTGTGCAAGAGGGACATGATTGATACTGGTATTGAGTTGAATTTATGGGAACAAAATACCATGGACTGTGTTGAGTGGAGGGTGGAAATCAGGGAGGGAATAAGAATAAAGGAAAAAAATAAATAATTGCAGAAAGGTTGAGAGCAGAGCATCTGAGAAGAAGCACACTCAAAACATGTGGTGACAGCAACGGCTCCTGAAATCCCATGCTCTTATTCTGGAAGACTTTTCTTAATCTGGGTGTTTCTTGTTGGTCAAACTCATCATCGCCATGGGCTGTGAGTCCTACGTCTCTCCATAGCACAATATAACATTATCATCTGGAAAGTTGGAAAGGTGCCAACAATGTAATTTATGTTGTGTTTTGACAACGGTCATAATTTTACATTTCAGCTGCAGCCACCACCAGCATTCATTGAACACAGACAGAAACTATGGGACAAGTTGGTAAAGGAAAAACAAGATTGGTTGGCATCTCAGCAACCTTTTCCAATCAAAATTGTTTTACCGGACGGGTCTCAAAAAGATGGGCAAGCTTGGAAAACTACCCCATATGATATTGCAGTTGGAATCAGGTGTGCATGACTTATGTAAAATCCATTCTTCTCCTTCTCCTCTTTTTCTTCCTTCTTCTTTTCTTTTTCTGCATTAGCCCCCTAATTGCATGTTGCATACTGAACTCTCAGTTACGCAACAGGTGTCCAAAGAACTAAATTTATTTTGTAGATGATAATTTAACAACTGCTTATGAAAAACATTAAAATCTGACATGTTTCTTTTACACTTGAATTGGCGTCTCTAGTAAAATTCAGATTCAAAGCTTCGTTGTTGTATATATACCTTTTTATTTTCGTTGTGAGTCATCCTAATTTTTAAAAAAAGTCATTGGCTGTAAAAACTTCTAATAATGCATTATAATCTATTCCTACTTTAGTCACAGAACTTTTTTTCACAGAAAACTTAGATTTTATTGTTCCCTCTAATTATACATCTAAAAACAATTATTAGTTTGGTTCTGACCCTGTTCAGTAGTGTTGTCTTTCATGAAACACTTGATATTTTATGATGTTTGATTATTTAATGGACTTCAGTAACATATGGTTATCATTAGATCTAGCAGCAAAAACACCAGTGGTCTTCATTGGAACTAAATACAAAAATATCAGTTTGAGTGCCACTTTCACCATTTATGTATTTATATTATATCAGCCAATCAACAAATATATTAGCACTTCCTGGTAAATAAGTAATGCAGTGATACCATCATTACAAGGAGCTTTTAGAAAGTAGTGCCTCTAATTTATTTTTCCCACATACTTTTTCTTGTGCTTTCATCTGAGGATGTGGATGCGTTGTGCCCATTTACCACATGGCTGCAATATTTGCACATTTTGGTCGACACATCTGACTTCTACGGACATTTGATGTCTGCGTTTGCCTTCCAAGACTCAGAACCCTTTGTATAAAAATGTATGAAATTCACTAAGAATATCTCTGATTGTGTCCTAGGCCTTATGTTAGTGGGAAACAAGGGCTTGGCGGTATCAGTTTTTACCTGTTCGCCTGCTCATTTTTTTCACAGCATGGATTGCATTCCTAGGCCCATCTCTGCACTTTCTAAAGCCTTATCTCTCTGAACCCAGTGACCAGTGGTGCACCAGTCGACAGAGCAGCTTTCACACCCAGCATGCAGTTTATAAATTTTCATCACAATCTCTTTTTCTGCAATCAGAATAGCTATGACAATTCGCTGTTTGCAGCACACATTGTCCACACACCCCCCCCCCCCCCCCTGTAGGTTCCAGGGTGCCATTTAGGGGGAACAAGAATAGACCCACTGCCTTTCCTACAAGGATGTTGTATTAGTCAATTAAATGGGAGCACCTGCCTGAGAGGCAAGTGACCAAGAGTCTGCATACAGACAAAGACCTATTACTTTCCACCGGAGTTTACAGCCAGTGAATGTGAAGAAGAAAAAGTTGACACTTTATTGTAACAAATTAATGCAGCTGCTCTTTTTGTTGGAATGAGTTGCCAATTTGTACATACAGTACTTCTTCTTCTTCTTCTTCTTCGCGTTCACCAGCTGTAAACTATGGCGGAAGGTTCTGGTTGCTCGTCCACTACTGAACTGCAGTCCTGCTCCAGAACCTGAGTGTTACGTGTGCATCAGTTTTACAGATCTCATTCTCTTGAATACAGACTGTTGGTTCCTTGCCTCTCCGGCAGATGCACTCCGACTTCAAAGGAAGCTCCCCAATTAGTCGACTCTTACGACATGCTTTTGGGGAGGCAGTGGGTCTATTCTTGTTTTCCCCACATTATGTACTGATTTTTCAAATGTTAAGGTTCTGAGGCCTCATTGTGGAGACTACATTGAACCACTGCCTCCCCAACAAGCAAGTTGTAAGAGTCGACTAACTAAGGGCTTCCTTCGAAGTCGGAGTACATCTGCCTGAGAGGCAAGGAACCAACAATCTGCACACACATGTCAGATCTGTAAAATAGATGTGCATGCAACACTTAGTTTCTGGAACAAGACCAATGTTCAGAGGTGGACGAACAACCAGAACTGAGTTTACAGCCTGTGTACGCAAAGATAAAGAAGAATTGTTAAGTGTTTTCTTCATTATTAGTTGAGACAAAATGAGGGGCATTACTTTCCGAATGCCTCTTTTAAATTCTTGCAGTTTTGATTCACATTTCTTCTCTGTAGCCACTAGTTTAAACCTTTGCCTCTAATTTGTTTTTGATTATAAGTCTGTAAGGTCTTTAGTTGCCTAGTCTTGCAGAAAGTCATTTTGTGTGTGCGTGCGAAAGAGAGAGAGAGACAGCGCATGCGCAGTTTACAAACTAATGTGTCACAACAAACAGTTTGGAAAGCTGTGCCCTGAATCATTCAAACTATACAGTTTTAGTATTATTTTAAAGAATATTTGTTTCTTCAAACAATTGTGCAGCCAAGGGCTAGCAGACAACACTGTAGTGGCCAAAGTAAATGGTGAACTCTGGGACTTAGACCGACCTTTTGAGAAGGATTCATCTCTACAGCTGTTGAAATTTGAAGATCCAGAAGGTTTGTTTATAAAAGATTTTTAAAAAAATTTTATAATGATGAATTGCCTTGATGTGATGTATTGTGGGGTTCCCTGTGTGGGTTCTGTGCCCCAATGTTGGGAGGTGGGAGCCTACTGCCTTCCTGACGTATGTAATAAAAGGGGTTTGCTGACATGCACAGATCCTTCGTAGTCAGAGTGCATACTAATGAGTCAGATCTGAAAAACGGATGTACACGTAACACTCATGTTCTAGAACAAAACTGCAGTCCAAAAGTAGATGAACAACCTGAACTTTCCGCCAGAGCTTACAGCTGGTGAACACGAAGAAAAAGAAAATGCCCAGATATCACAGCCCAGCTGTAAGCCACACCACAGTGAGAAGAGAAATGTGTTATGAACTCAAAACCAGTCAAAACATATTTTGGAAGCCATGGTGGTGTAGCGGCTTGATGCTCATCTCATGCCCGAAGGTCTTAGTTTGAAATCTCAATGAGTCAGGATTTTTATTCCCCAACAAAGCCCAGATGAGATGCTTACGTAAGGCTGCCAATGTCACAAGGAGAGACAGAGTTCGAAACGAGAACATTAGATCAATTGTAGGAACCACACCATGCCTGCAATACATAAAGAAGCAACAAATCAAGTGGTTTGGCCATTTGATGCGAATGCAAACCGACCAACTGCCTCTACGAGCATACAACGAACAACACTACTGCCCTAGAGCAAGAGGCAGACCGAGAGTACGATGGATAGACAATATATCAGAGATCCTGAGGCAACACGGACTAACAACAACACATGCAACACACCTGGCCCAGGATAGAAAACTGCGACTCCCCACTACGCTGTGAGGCAATTGTGGACAAGACAAGACAACAAAGCCCATGGCTGCTAGGTCGATCCAGCCTAAAATTGGTACCAGATAAAGTCCTATCAAGTAAAGTTGGCTGGCATGCATGCTGGCCACATTATCTGCCAGTTTGCCTACTGTCTAGCATCATCTGTCTGATGTGCTACTGGCGTAACAAAGGATCATTTATGCACTTACTAAAACATGTAGTTGAATTCCTTACCCAAGAACAAAGCACCATCTCCATGTTATAGTTTCACAGGTATCGTTTTAAATTTGTAACTTCACAGTGTGGGTTCTGAGGGCCCATTGTGGGGGGGGGGGGGGGTGGTGGTGGTGGGAGAAATGACCCACTGCCTCTCTATCTTACAAGCATGTTGTGAAAGGTGACTAACTAAATGTGCTATCTTCAAAGTCAGACTGTATTTGCTGGAGAAGGGAGGATCTAACAGAAAAGTAACAGCAGTCTACATACTAATTAGTCAGATCTCTGTACACAAAACTCGAGTTCCGGAACAAGCCCAATGTTTAGAAGTGGAAATGAAGATTTTCTGCCAGAGATTAACGCCGATGAACGCTAAGGATAAGAAGAAGAATCTTAAGTCTAGAGATGACTTGCATCTTACAGACTGAGATTGGTGAAAAGTGGTCGACCTAGGAACAAAGCACCATGTTGCTGTTCCATAACTATCTTTTTTGTTTTGTTTTAAATGTTAACTCTTTCGATACCTGAGGACAGTTAAATTAGTTAACAAATCGGCATGTGATGCCTTCCTAGGTACCCATTTAACATTCTCACAGGTCCTGAGAATCTGTTACCATTATCCGAGAAAGCAAAAAACAGCTGATTCACTACTCCAACATCGAGGATGAATAATTCGCCCTTTTTCTGATTTTTTTTAGTAATTCAAATAGTCAGCACTGAAAACAACACAGGTTTGCATGAAAATTGAGAGAGAAAGATATCAAACAATAATTAGTAGCTTTAGTCCTATGCCCTGTTTGAAAATATCAAACATTATTTTGTTTGTTTTTGAAATGAAAATATGATACTCCAGCTATTCAACCTAGCTTTTAGCATTTGTAATTAGTGTGTGTTTCAAAGTGCTGAATGGTCTCAAGGCATGGCGTTCACCTCGAGTGCTGAAGGTCCCACGTTAAGGCTCTGTTGAGGGCTGGGATTTTTTCCTGTGGACTTATAGTAATTTCCCCTGGTCTCTGGGTAGTAAGATCGTACTCCCTTATGTATTGTTGCGCACATAAAAAATGTCTTTGCAGTTGTTAATCGAAAAGAGTAGCCTAACAGCACTGAGTAGGCAACATTTGGAGTTAAAAATCTACCCAAAAGTATTTTAGGATCCTCGCCGATGCTACAGAGTTTGTGCACTGCGCTAAGATTTTTCGGACTCAGGCTTGAGTTAGGAGTTGAATGGAGCACCTATTGCTTACTACCATTGTGATATGATGTTCATCCATTTTTCAAATCGCTTGTTTGCAGGTCAATATGTATTTTGGCATTCTAGTGCACACATGCTGGGGGAAGCAATGGAGCGCAATACTGGCGGCCACCTTTGCTACGGCCCTCCGATTGAAGACGGCTTTTATTATGACATGTGGTGTCAAGAGTAAGTTGATGTGATTCATAGTAACCGTGAAGACTGTGTGTGGCTGTACCATTGACTTGCTTTGCAAGTCCATTCTTCTGTCCAGTTGCAGTGATGCCTTGCTTGCCAGTTGGTCTGAGCGCTCATTACCTTTTATGCCTGCATCAGCAGGTATGTAGATCCAGGTGAGGGAGGTCAAGTGTGATTTTCGAATGCTTTTTACCCCTTTCAAAGCGCACAGCACCTGTTGCTATCTTCTGCTGTTATCACATGAATTTAGTGTGGTTCTTCTTAGATGCCCAGCTCTCAACTTCTCTGCAATAATTTGTTCTTTATTCCTATTCTCTTCTTGATTTTTCCCTTCCATGCAGTATGGTCCTTTGCATTTTGTATAGCAATATAGGTAGAAAAGTCTTTATGTGTTTGGGTTGATTGGGAGATCTTGTTGTTCTACCTTTTGTGCCCCAATGAAATGTAGGCCTAAAATTGTCATGCACTTCTTGTCCTTTTCCGTCTCTTGTATTCCTACATATCTTTCCCCAAATTCATCATCATGTGCTGGGCCACAGCATATGTGATTATATTGCTACATAATCCCTCCCCATCTGGGTTTTAGGGCCCCATTGTAAGGGGGGGGGGGGGAAGTAGACCCACTGCATGTTGTAAATGTTGACTGATTAGGGGTATTTCCTTTGAAGTCAAGGTGCATCTGCTGTAGAGGCAAGGGACCAACAGTCTGCATACAAGTTAGATACACAAGTTAGATATGTAATTGATCTTTGAAAAAGGATTTTTTCTATGCTGTTTGTCTTGTACTATGATATGCCATATTTAGTTTATAAGATATAATAGTTGATATATTTAACTCTAACAGTTCCAGAGGACAGGTAAAATAGTTATACATCAGCATAGGATGCGTTCCTTGGTACCCAAAGAGTTAATAGTCATGCTGGGTATCACTTGGTAGTCAGTGTAGTGCAGCAGCTAAATGCTCACCTGGGGATCTGAAGGAAGCTGGACTATTTTTAGAAATGACCTTGGCTCCCAGGTAGACCCAGCCTTAAATGGGTACCAGGTATAGTCCTGGGAAGTAAAGATGACCGGCGTGATGTTGATCACCTCACCCACCTAGTGCCGATTGGTCTGTAAAATATAGGTCTAGCACAATATGCTCAGCGCACCAGAAGGCTTGAGAAAAGGGTCCTTTACTTGTACTTTTATGCAGCACATTAGTAGCCATTCCTACACACACAGGTACTGTTGAATGTACCAAGTGTGTTGATGAACATTGTATTGTTGATGGTCTTGTTAAACAGTGCCAAAATATCTACTTTCAGACCCATCTCAAGCTCTGTTTTCCCAGATTTGGAAACAATAGTCAAAAATATAGCCAAGGAAAAACAACCATTCGAGAGACTGGAGATGACTAAGGAGGATCTCCTGAAGATGTTTGAGGTGATTTGTGTACTTAGCACAGACATGAGCCTGTGCTGTTAATTGTAGTTATTTAATTCTTCATTTGGTATATTCAAGGTTCACTGTCATGAAGCTTTTTTTAAACCCAAATATGGGCTGATGCTCATTTCGCACATTATGTATTCTAAGATTTTTTGGGCTATACATTGTTTTAATTTGGAGTACTGTGTTTTTTATTTGGAAACTGACAAAATCTGTCAGTGGAGTTTAAAAAACTGTAAGCTATTATCAATTTGTATCAACCTATGAGTAATCGTTTGACAGTTAGCTACATAATATAAATTGTTTTAATAGCTGTCTTTGAAAATGAATTTTATTGTTTTCACCCAGGTCTTACTTTTTTCTCTCTATTTTTAGCATTTTGACAAAGACTAGCCAAAATTGTAATATCTGTGCTTGTTTGTTTTTGGCCTCATTTTATATTCATTTGCTTTATAATGGTAACTTCATTTACATTAGTGACATTTAAGTCACGATCTACACTATAATTTGAGCTGATAACCTTCTATTCACTTGTTTTAGAATGTAAAATTAAAAGTTACAGTCAAAGACAGACACATTAGAACTCCGCTTGTGGTGTTTGGTTTAGTGAGGTGTTCATTGTCCACATTAGCCCACATTATTAAAGTTATATGAGGATTTGTTTAAGAAAATATGTTTATTGACTCTTTATTGCTTTTCTTAACATTTCTGTACTGCTTATTTACAGTACAATGAGTTCAAGAAGAGAATAATCAATGAAAAAGTTACCACTCCAACGACCACCGTTTACAGGTTTGTCGCATTTTATCTGAATATTTCACTTTTATTCTTGATACTATTAAAAAAAATTATATTTGGAAGACATTCATTTTTTTTAAAAGTATGTAATAATGGTTGAATTAAGTCCTTTCACTGCTTCCATACGTCTCTAATACATTTGTTTTTGTATTTTTGGTTGACAGGTGTGGTACACTTATTGACCTTTGTCGGGGCCCACATGTACGCCACACCGGGAAAGTTAAAGCTTTAGCTGTGACAAAGGTATGCTGTAGTTTTGTACAGTGAGCAGGATGCAGAGATGCATCACCACACCAGGGCCAAGACTCAAACTGGTTGAGATATATCTTCATCTCTGTTATCAGAGATTATTACAACCTAGAAGCAAATTCCCTTCATGGATCAACTGCCATATAGACTACCATATAGATAAGATCAATAAATATATCCTTTGAAGGTGGAGCACATCTGCTTGATGCAAAGAATCAACGGTCTGCACACGAATAAGCCACATTTTAAAAAAACTGACAAGCATGGGGAAATTAAGTCCTGGAACATGACCAAGGTCCAGACATAGATGATTAGCCTGGACTCCCACTGGAGTTCACAGTCCCCGGAATACAGAAGCAGCAGATGAAGAGAAAAAAAAGTACAAATGGAAACTGTGCTAGGAAAAAGCTTATCTTCAAACTAGTTGTTATAACAGTGTTTAGTGTTAATTTTTGAAACAAAATCTGTCTTCCTTCACAAAATTGTCAAGCAGAGTAAATTTATTTGGAGAAAACTGTAAAAGCCAACATCATCAACAAATCTCTTAAGAAATCTGATGTGTTGGATGACAGGCACAAATACTGCAGCCCTGCTGAAATGGGTTCGATACTATTATGTCCAGAGTAAAGAATGTAGGGCGAGTAAAGAAGAATGGTCAGGGGCTGGTTGGTCGTGCATACCCATGGAAATGCATGCAGCACATGGCTTGCTCTGGATCATTAATTTCAGTGTTTCGTAATCTTGAAAGTCATTCCCCATTTAAAATATATAATTGGTAGATGCATTTTTATATTATTTTTGTTGTTGTTGTAAGTTGAAAGGTACAGTAGACCATTTTTCAAGGTAGAATTTCTATTAATCACACCCTTCAACCTGCAAATGTAAATATAGTAGACTGCAATATGCGGCCTAATGTGGTGGAAGAGTAGGCTGGATAATTCCCCCCACCCCCCAGGTAATACTGATATTTCTATAAAATGTTCAGTTTCTACACATCTATGTAATTAAAAAAAACCTCTTTATACCAAAACCCGCTCCTATTTATATTTTCTAAAGTCTCAATACAGGCTAGTACTGTATAAATGTTTCTTATGTATTGTACTGTACGTTTTAGACATTTATTACGGAAAAGGAAGTCCAGAAATAAAAATATTTTTCACATTTTAAGATACATTTTTTCACAGAATTCCTCAACTTATTGGGAAGGAAATTCAGAGGCAGAAAGTTTGCAAAGGCTGTATGGTATATCATTTCCAGAACCTAAACAGCTGAAAGAGTGGAAGCACTTGCAAGAAGAGGCAGCAAAAAGAGACCATCGCAAAATTGGAAAAGTTAGTTTTTTTTTCGGATGTTTCATTTGTCTTTTGAATTTGCATATTTATTGTTTTCTAATGCAGTGTATATATTTAGGCTTGTTGAAAATATTCTTATGATTTCTTCTACTCATTAATTTTTTTTAATTTTAATTTTTTTTATGTTAACGTCCTATTGCTGCTCCTTATTCTAATTTATCTGTCTGTAACCTTCTATAACATATGTGTTCAACAGTGTCTGGTCAGCTTTCCTATCTTCCTCTGTCTCTTATAATTTCTTCCATGTCATTTTCCAGTCACCTTTTGCACGTGCTTTTAGTGTGTAAATTTCTGTTGCCTTGTAGGATCCTAGTTATTCTCAGTATGTCCTATCCGGCTGCAGTGTCTTTCCCTCTCTCTTCACTTACTTGACATTGTTTTCTTCTTTCTCTTCATAGTCATTGTTTTTCTCTCATATCATTTGGGGATTTTTTTTTTCCTTTAAATAATTCTCAGTGTTTCTGGTCTAAAAATCAGTAATGATTAGATGTTTTATTTGTCCTGGTTGCACAGATTTTGTTTGCTTACCTGACTTATGCCCATAAATTTGTTATATTTTCTGTAACTCTTTGGGGCATTAATGAATTTCTTTTTTTTTAGTGTTTATCGGCTGTAAACTCTGGCAGAAGGTTCTGGCTGTTCGTCCACTTCTGGACTTTATAGCAAAAATTTGAGTTTTGTGTGCACATACTGTTACAAACCTGGCTTATTTGTCTGCAGACTGTTTATGTTGTCCTGGTTATGGATTTTCTTGTTGATGTGCCCTTTGGAATTAAATATAACTATTGTTTTTATGTCTCCCACTTTGATAAATATCTTAGATGCCATAACCAAAAAAAAGAAAAAAAAAAGAAATGTGCATCCAAACACAAGACAGAAGTAGAACCCTAGGTGGACCATTATCAGCATGGAAAAATAACATTAAAGATACAGAAAAATAAGAGCTAGAACCAAAACCTTGAATCTTCAGTGACAGCCGAAGCAGTAAAAGTATAAGTGAAGAAGAAATAACATCAGACTGAATAGTTTATAAAGCAGGAAGAAATCCTCGATACTTTATTGGTATGTATGAATAAGTTATATCTTGGTATAATGGTATTATAGATTTGAAAATATGTTATTTTTCCAGGAACAAGATCTGTTCTTCTTTCATGAACTGAGTCCTGGAAGCTGTTTTTTCTTGCCAAGAGGCGCTCATATCTATAATACTCTGATTGACTTCATACGGGTAATTACATCACTTTTTTTTAATCAATTAATTTTTATCATCACATGTTAGAAGATAAATGACACAAAAATGGTCAGGCAGTCTCCAACATCAAGATATTAAATTACTGAACACAGACTATATCTATACTGTTGGGGAAACAAGGTAACACACAGTTATCTGATTGTGCATTACCACTACTATTTAAAAAAAAATGGAATGCATAGCAACTTGAAGGAACATAATTTTTGTCATAAGTTTGACATTCAAAATCTTTGTAATTAAATGAATGAAATTATTAAAATTGCACACAGATTTTATATTCATGAGGTAAAACCAGGCTGATTAAGGGTGAGAGGACTGATTTCATTGACTGAGTTTTATCCCATCTGGCTGAATCTGTCTCCCCAGGACAATGGCCTGCTTTCCAAGACATTTGCACAGTCTACGTCTTTCGTAGTTCTCACCAGCGTCCTTCCAGAAATCTTTACAATAATTTACATTTGTGAACAGAACAAATAGTCAAAAATAAATCCACAATTTTCAGAGTTTGAAGTTTTTGGCTCAAAAATGTTGCCATATCCAAAAAAAAAAAAATGATTGCATTGTTTGAAAAATTTTTTTTTATAGAATTAACAATTTAGAATATTATAGAATTGACAATATAATAATGCACAAATAATATTCAGGAAGCATATTAAATTAATTTTTGTGTGTGTATCTGTATCTTGCATTGATATTCATCTTTCTGGAAATCACTGGCTTAGATGTTCTCTACCTGGTCTCTGAAACCAGTTAGCAATTTGGTTGATGATGGTGATGATTTATACAGTGTTAGTTGATTTGTAACATGTGTTTATAATGTATGCTTCACTTTTTCTACAGACTGTATACTGGGAGAGAGGTTTTACTGAAGTTGTCTCTCCAAACATTTACAACAGCAAGTTGTGGGAGATATCTGGCCACTGGCAACATTATGCAGTAAGTGTCAACAGCCACGTTTATTTGGCAGTGTTAGTTTAGTTTTTATGGTTACAAAGTATTACAGTCACCTGGACGTCCACTTTTTTTTCTTTCTTTTTTTCTGGGCAGAAGACTGCCCAGCTGGTAACTGATGATTGCATTGGGAAGGAGTCAGTGTCTGCTACAGCCAGTTTGAACTGAAATATCATTATCTTTGTTTTACAATATCAGCTCTTTGTATCTTGAAAATTGTCAAATTTTGCCCGTTTATTTTGCAAACATTAAATTCAAAGAAAAGACCTTTGAAATAATCAAATACCTCTGTCTTTTCACAGCTTATAATGTAAGGATGATGCAGTAGACTGCAATTATTGCATTTAGTGTGCCCTTAAATAGAAGTTGATACATTACTGTATATTAGAATTGAAATATTAATTACAGTAAAGCCCTGTAAACACAAACTCCTTTAAGAACACTAGGTTTACATGTAATAGATTTTGGTCCCAGCAAGGATGTATTAATTTGAGACCCCAGTTAGCACAAATTTCTTTTAACACAAACTCTTGCCTTTTCAGTCCCTTGGAATTCGTGTTAACAAAGTGTTACAGTAGACACTAGGTGGTCTTAAACTGTTGGCTACCTCTGTATATCAGTCTCCAGAAAGCAGCTCCTGTGCAGACATTGTGCTCTTCCTTTTAAACTAGTGTTTGGTGACTTCAGTGCCCTGTGCTTTCAAGCATTAGGTAAACACTACTAAAGCTGCCTCCAACAGTAACTTAATCATACCACAGCTGCAGAGAAGCTTCACCTCTGTAAGAACTTCTTTGGGCTGTCAACTTGGTAGCTTTGGAATCAGCAACAATAACATGTTTGAAATACCTTAGAAACCCGTAAATACTTTTTTGTTTCAGGAAAATATGTTCTCGTTTGACTGTGAAAAGGAAACATATGCTCTGAAGCCAATGAATTGTCCTGGTCATTGGTAAGTTCATTTTTTATTGTGTGGTCTTAAGTCCAGGTGCTATCAAATATTAGTTAATCATTCACAGACATTTATGACCACACAGACAGCTATTGATGTCCTCTGTGTAATGATACTAAATGTTTTGTGTCCTCTGTGTAAGGAGACTAAATGTTATTGTGTTTTCTGTCAATAATAAATGATATTGTATTCTCTGTGTAATCATACTAAATGGTATTTTGTTTTTTGTGTAATCATACTAAATGGTATTTTGTTTTCTGTGTAATCATACTAAATGGCATTGTGTTCTCTTTGAATATTGCTAAATGATTTTGTGCTCTGTGTGATTGATACTTAATGGTATTGTGTTTTCTTTGTAATGAAACTAAATGGTATTGTATTTGTAATGATGCTATAAATAGGGATAACATCAGGGTATAAATGGGTGACAGAACTGGGAAAGTCCCTTGTGTGAGAAGCATGGGTTTCACGAGGAGATGGTGAAAAGAAAGAACTGAGCAATTCACGTGTGAATGCCAGATCTGGGAGATTGCGGATGAGGTGGTCAGTCTGCGACTGGGCCCCAGAGAGTTTTGATGGAATTAGAGTGTTCGGAATGAAAGTGTGTTCATTTGAGATGAAGTGGAACTTGATTTCTGAATGGCTGCGAAGTACCTGTGGTGAATTGTTGCCGAATAATATCTGAGGACAGTGGCATTGACCGATTAACTGTGGCTGGTACTGACTGCATGTAGGTAAGGGTCAAATGTGGCGTGGCTGTGTGCGCAAACGTGAGAACTGATTCTTGACTAGAGAGCGTAATTTAGATTGTCATATTGATTCTTGTTGTATATTTAATGGGATAAGCCTGGAACTGATCATCCCTGACTATCCTTTCTTGTAGTGTGATGGAAGATAGTTTGCCTCGTCTGTTCTACATTAGTGACCCCTAGACAACGATCTGGGTCGAATGAGTACGAGTTAAAGGAAGTACAATAGAGAGAGATACCCAGGAAAAGTAAGCACTTCTTAATGGAAACATCTTCTTAATAGGAGGAAAGTGACTTCTTTACAACTATTTAGCATCATTCACAGAACAAAATACTAATTAGTACCGGTGTACAGAGAAAATAATATCATACAGGCTCATCCATAGAGAACACAATACTGTTTAGCTTCATCAATACACAGAGAACATAAAATGATATAGACTCATCCACAGAGAAGACAATACAATCTATCATCATTGACAAATACTGTAAAGAAGTCAGTATGTTCCCGGAAATTATGCCTTGAGAACGGCAGGGTCTAGTCTTCAGAGTCTGTTTGACCCTACTGCAAATGGCAAACTCTGGAACCACAGGCCTCCGAATACCTGGTGCCAGTGTTGCCAGATTGGACTACAAGCTTTGAGTTCAAAGAGTTGCCCCATCCACAATAATAACTCGCTTTGACGAGAGAGAGAAAGTTAATACCTGTTTGAATTATAATAGTGTTACAAAATATAAATTAGACTTATCCCTATTGTGGTTCTGGGACTCTGTTATAGGGAAAACAAGAATAGAACCACTACCTACCCAAAAGAATGTTGTAAAAGTTGACTAATTGGGAGCTTCCTTCGAGGTCGGAGTGCTTCTGCCTGAGAGGCAAGGAACCAGCAGTCTGCATACAAATGAGTCAGATCTGTAAAACGGATGCACAGGCAGCACTCAGGTTCTGGAACAGGACTGCAGTCTGAAAGTGGATGAACAACCAGAACTTTCCACCAGAGTTAAAAGCTGGTGAACACAAAGAAGAAGAAGAAACTAGACATAACCGATTCGACTTACAACTTGTTGGTTGGGCCGTGATTTGGTTGTAAGTCAGTGAGACCCTGTATGCTCATTTTGTGCAGAACTCTTGTGTATTTTCGAGTTATGGTCATTGTTTTTCTTGCACAGCTTGATGTTTGATCATGGTGCTAGATCTTGGAGGGAGTTGCCTCTAAGACTAGCTGACTTTGGAGTGTTGCACCGCAATGAACTGTCAGGAGCCCTGTCTGGTCTAACACGTGTGAGAAGATTCCAACAAGATGATGCCCACATCTTCTGCCGAAAGGATCAGGTATTATATTTTTTTTCCCCTAGATTTCCTCTTCTTCTGTGTTCACCATTTTTAGGACTATTTGCATGCTGTGTTATGGTTATCAAATATGTGATATCTGCGCCCTTTGGCCCAAAAATCTTATTCAGCACCCTCTTAACTCTTTGAGTCCCAAGGGTTTAGCATCACAGGCCTAGTTGGTAGTAAAGAAAGTAATAAAATCGGCACATCATGCGTTCATTGAGCTTCTAGGTAGAAACCTATGAACGTATGATGTGTTCCTTGGGACTCAAAGAGTTAATTAGTCACCTTTTGTGACATGCTTGTTAAGAGGCACTGAGTCTGTCTTTTTTTTTCCCTTCGCCAGACTGGGTCCCCAGAACCCACACGGAGATCTTGATTTATAATTTGTGTTTTCTTTCTACTTGTTTTGACTTGAGTACATAAAATTTCTTCTTCTTTTTATTCTGTCCTCCAGTTAAGCATAAGCCCTCAACCAACTGAGGTCAGATGGTTCTATCCTTCGCTATTGCATGCAGCTCATCTCTGTGTCCTCCCCATCTGTTTAACTTTACTATCTGACTTCTTCTGCATGTTTTTTTTGGGGGGTCTACCTTTATTTCTATGCCCTGTGGGTTTCATTAAAAAGACATTCTAGTTATATTGTTTTTAGGTTTTCCTGTGTCCTATCTGCTAGCATCTTTTTTTTTTCACCTCTTGGTCCAATGGAACTCTTTTAGTTCTCCAAAAAAATAGGTTTATTCTTTAAGGAATGAACAGCAGGTTTAATTAAGTGTGCTCCATTGCCCTAATTTTGGAAGAAAAATGATTAATGCCACTGCCGCTTTAATAAGCATGTTGTAAGAGGGGACTAATTGGGGGTGTTTCCTTCAAACTCTGAGTGCTTCTGCCTTAGAGGTGGGGAACCAACAGTCTGCATATAAATAAGCCTGATTTTTAAAAAGAATGTGCACACAGAACTCAAGTTCTGGAACACGACCAGTCCAGAAGTGAACAAGCAAATAGAACTTTCTGCAGGAGTTTCCTGCTGGTGATACTTCTTGATTTATCTGATGATGAAATCAGATGTGTTTGGCTGAAAGGCGTCAGCATCACACTGGCCGCCTTTACTTCCCGGGACTGCACCTGGTACCAACTCAAGGCTGCGTCGATGGAGTCATGGTCATTTTTGTAAAAAGTCCGACTCTGCCAGGGAGTGAACCCTCGACCTTCCGATCCGCACACGAGCGTCTAGCCGCTACGCCATGGCGACTCCCAGAAACATAGTGAGCGGAATCTGTATACAAAAAAAATGTCCAGTAAAGCTACTGAGTGGTAATTTTTGCATTTCCTGTTGTTATAATTAGGTACTCCAACAAGTCTTTGTAAATAAATAAACTGTGAAGGTAAAAATCATAACCATAATGGCAACAATCAATTTCAGATCAAGGATGAAATCAACAGCTGTTTGGATTTCTTGAAGTTTGTCTATGGGACTTTTAACTTCACATTCAACCTCAAGTTGTCCACCAGACCTGAGAAGTTTCTGGGAGACAAAGCTGTGTGGGATCAGGCTGAGAAGGTAATGTTCTGGTTTGTTTAAGTAGTTTTCTTTTCAAGTTTCACAACAGCAAGGTGTTAAAATGAGTCTTTCGGCTTATTTGTTTGAGTGCCAATCAATACATGTTGGATTATTATTTATAAAATAAGTTAAGATTCCTGTGAATATTTTATTTATTTCCTAACTGTTGTCAGCTTCCACGCATGCATGCACACGTGCGAGCGCACAAACAGTAAACAAACATGATAGCCACTCACAGAAAAAAAGCAGAAAGATAGAAGGACACACTAGACAGCCTAAAAATATAAAGTAGTTACCTTGCTGGGAATCGGACCTGTTATCTCCAGGAACCTGTCACCTGAAGTTACAAGTATACTAAGAAAGATGCATTAGCCATATCTGTTATACAGCTTGATGTGCAAGGCAACAATATACTATATTTATTGTGAAATATATATACACATCAGTAATCTCTCACTGTATACAGAAGAAGGTCATGTCAGTTAACTTCTCCACTTCTCTTTTACCGCTTTGTTTATGTGGGAAGATATAAGGTTCTACTTTTATGTGTAAACATGCACACATAAATACCCCCAAAACCTATATTGGATGAACGAAAAAGGAAATTTCTGGGTACTTTCTTATTAGCCAACCTCAAACAGGGTAAATCCGCAGTTCACGGGACAGTCAAATATTTCAGGGGGGGGGGGGAGGGGGTAATTAAGTGTATAGTATTGGCTTGGTTAGGGTTAGGTTAATGCGTGAAAACCTTGGCCTTGGAAGAAATTCGCTAAAGCACAGCAAACATGAAAAACCCGCTCTTACTACACTCTAAAATATTGGACTGTCCCTTGACGTCATTTGTGGTTGGCTAAAAAGAAAGCACCAAATTCTGTTGTGGAGCAGTTTTCTCAATTTCTAGAACAAAACTGAAGTCCAGAATTAAATGATAAAATAGGACTTTCCACTGGGGTTTACAGCCGGTGAATGCGAAGAAAATGAAGAGTTTTATTGTTAGAAAATTATTATTGACCCTAATACTAAGACTTTTTAATTGTCTGCAGCAACTGGAAGAGAGCTTGAACAATTTTGGCCACAAGTGGGAATTAAACCCAGGAGATGGTGCTTTCTATGGACCAAAGGTGAGTGTCATAGGAAAAGCTTTGACACAGAATGTTTGTTTTTATGGCTTATCAATACTACAAAAAAAAAATGGAATTGCTGCTGGATTTTTTTTTTTTAAACAGATAACAGATTCTTCTAAATATAATTCATTTACTTTCTTGCATTGCCTGAGAATAGTTTTTTCTTTGATCATCCTGTCCATGTTGATTCTAATTGTCTGTTATTGCTGGAGGTGATATCCTTCAGGAAAACATGTCCGTTAAGGTCCCTAAACTAGACTGTCTAAATCTATATGAGAATTTTTAACAGTTTTTGTAATTGTGAATTTGTCATTGTTTCTTTCAGCAGGCCATTGACGAATGTGCATCTGTGTCCTGCTTTTTCTGTTGTCTGATTTATCTTTTAAATGTTACATTGTTCATTATTTTTTTCATGGTGGTGGTTGTATGTCGTTTATTTATTTCCATTGAAGACAATTCTGTATATATGTCTAGTGGAAATGTATTGGGTTCATACTTCAGAAGACCTGACATGGGGCAATCCCTCAAGGTCTGCTGAATGTGACTTGACGTAAGATTCACATATTCTTTAAAATTAACGTGTAACCTGAGCTAAGTCTCCAACAAACAACTTAAACTTGAGACCACGTCTTAAGGCAGTCTGTTTGAGCAAGCCCTACTGATACGACATCTGAGTTCCTAGCATTGACTAAAATTGTGGCCTGATCGCTTTATGCTGTGAAGTATTAAACTGTTTTATTTAGTTGTGTTTTTATGGAGTATTTATTCCTGTCTTAGTGTTGTGTCATCTCCATCTAAATCATTGATTCATTTATTATTGTAGCAAAATTTCGTTCTCAAATTTCATCAGAAGTGGTTGCAAATTAGGGCAGCAAGTTAGTGATTTAGACAGCTTTGTAGAAGCCCATGTTCAGGGGAGCTGTGAAAAGAATACTTTAAGAGATGAAATAGCCTCTGACATGGCTTAAAAGAAAGAGGTTACAGAAACTGACATGGTTAACTTCAGGTAGAAGAGTACTGGGTATCAGTACTATGTACTGTAGCATGAACCTGATACATTTGTGCTAGACTAAAAAGTATGTTAATATCTAGTTATTTAGTATTTAGAAAAGGGATGGTGATATCACATGTGTTGATCGATCAGTCAATGTGTTTCTTTTAGACTGCTACCTAAAGGTTTACCATACCATTCTGGGAATTAACAAAATATCATTCTGGATGGCAGAGGCTAATTTAGGCCTTGGGAATACACTTCTTTATTCCAGGGTTCGATCCCAGGTGGTGGGTGTGTTATTTATATATATATATATTTTTTAAATTGCTCGTATTTTCTGGGCAGTAGTATGAGAGTCACACTATGGAAGAAATTTTGGGGCCTCACCACGTGATATTTTCTAAGACCTCAGTGGAATGATACACTATAGCCAGCCTTCACGGTGAAGATGTCACAGATTTTTTTGTTTTGTTAAATTTCTGTCCTTAAGTTCAGTTTTTATCTGCTTCTTGGAGGACTGCTTCGTATAAGGAATGCATCAAAATCATCTTTACATTTACTGAACAAACATCCAACAAAAGAACTCTCCTCCCCCCCCCCCCCCCCCCCCCCCCCCCCCCCCCCCCCCCCCCCCCCCCCCCTGTTTGTGTGTGTGTGTGGTTTGGTTATGCCAGTGGGATATTAGACTTAATTTTTGGCGCCAGTCGGCACTCGATGGATGATGTGGTCAGCATCTTTTCTTTCTAGGACTTTACCTGTTACCCATTTTATGCTGGATTAACCTAGATCTCTTTTCCATGTCTTCATGTTTATTGGGCACGTAGCCCTAGTCATATATTTTATAGACCAATCAGCTTTCGATTGATGATGTGATTAACATCACACTATTAGCCATTACTTTCTGGGACTTTCTGGTACCCATTTAAGGTCGGGTCGACCTTTTTTTTGTATATTTTTGTTTTGCTCAGAACCTGAACACTTGGGATCCACAGGCGAGCGTCTTGCCACTACATCACAGCAGCTCCTGTCAGCCCAGGAGCTAGTGTAATTTTTAAATAAAAAAAAAATCCTAGACTTTTGGGCCAGCGGGTGAGCATCTATCTACTGTGCCACGTCATCTGCCAGTTGTATAGAGCAAGTCTGGGAATACATAAGGAAACATCTTTACTATTAAAATGTTAGTTGCGTCTTCTTTACAGGAATTCACAAATTAGTCTCTGCATTTATTGGCTGTCGTGTGGTCATGATAGACAAATTTATATTAACTAGGTTGCCACTGCTTTCTTAAGGCTGTGGTGTTCATACCATTGTCAGAATCAACTCAGAGCAGTTTTCTACCACATCACATGCAGCTGACTTCAAACCCTTGTTTGTCCAGATTGTGAAATTCATTCATATCAATGAAGCCACTTATGTTTATTGTTTAACTCTCGAGGAAATGTATATATATTATGTCTATAAAGATTAAACATGCATCAGTGCCGTGGGTGTAACCCATAACGAGTGGAAAGCTGAACATACGGATGTGAGGTTAAGCAGTCATCTGCAGGTTATGATGATTTCTTGGGTGAGCCCAGGACTAGAGTGTCAAGTATTGGCTCTGCATTTATGGAAGCCTCCTTGGATGCCAGATACAGGTGGATGTGTTGACCAGAAGGTGCAAATTTAACAGCTATGCAGTTAACAGGCCCAGCACAATTATTTCACTTAATTGAACGTAATGAAGATTAAACATGCATCAGAGAATGAATTGTTTGTGAAATGTTATTTTAGAACAAAAGATAGACTTGAGTTTCCTTTCTGCCTCTTCAGATAGATATTACTATCAGTGATGCTTTGAAAAGGAGCCATCAGTGTGCCACCATTCAGCTGGACTTCCAACTGCCAGAAAGATTCAACTTGTCTTACATAAAGTGAGTACATTATTACAGTAATCTTGTCTGTCTCCAGAAATGCAAACTGTAGATTAAATGTCCTGATAGGAGCATTGTAATATTTTGTTTCCAAAATACCATGAACAGATTGTGCGTCAGAAATTTGAGAATTGTAATTTTTGTCTCCAGAAATACCACAAACAAATTATGTCTTAATATGAACATTGTAATTGACTAGTTTTTTTTATACATGTCTTTACCTGCACAGAACTGCAGCTTACACCAGGCTGATGTAGCCATTGCCGAGGCCCTATGATAACTTCTTTTAGAGGTTACAACGGGGTATCTGGGATCTACTGTGTTGGTCTGCCATCCAGACTGAGATTTTTTAAATGTCAGGATGGTATGGTAGACCTTTAGGTAGCAGCTCAAAGGGGCCAAACTGATTGATCAATGGATCGATCCTGTCTCCAGAAATACTACACGCAGATTCTGTCCTAAAATGAGTGTTTATTTTCTTGTCTATAGAAATACTGTAAATGCATTATATGTCCTAATATGAGTGTTTCTTGGGAAATTAAGACAGTCAAAATAATTTTGATCACACCATCCACTGAAAACCGAATGGTAAACATCTGTATGTGTGCGCGTGCCTGCATATGTGTATGTGTATGAGAGAAAGAGAGAGAGAAGTTTCATATGCCTGATTTGAAAAAATGCTTATTTTAATTTAAAAAAAAAAAATTTAACATTTATTTTTTTCAACTTTTCGTATGAGTGCTGTAATTGCCTGTCTGCATAAATAGCACAAACATGGACAGTACTTTTTCTTCTTTAGGCTTCTTCAAGAAGTTGAGTTTGATGTGCACATCCATTTCACAGGAAACATCGATCCTATCTACATCGGCTGGACCCCCGTTTGGGAATGTGTTTCTAGGATGACCATGGGGAGATGTAGATAGGTCATGGCCAGTTTGTGTCCTGGAGCACCATGGTTCAGCACATTTTCATTCCTGACCTACTTGTTTGTTTCTTATTATTAAAATTCCAATCCAGGTCTGCTGGGATGATAACTCAAGATGCTCTTGTATTTACAGTGAACATCAGGAAAAGGAGAGACCTGTCATCATTCACCGTGCAGTGTTGGGCTCAGTTGAGAGGATGATCGCCATTCTGTGTGAGAACTTTGGAGGGAAATGGTAAGCTGGGACAGTACAATAGTAAACTCTTATTCTGTGTGAGAGTTTTGGAAGAATTCTACTTCTTTGTTCACCATTTCTAAGCTCCGGCAGAAAGTCCTCGTTTTTTTTGTCCTTTTGGACTCCGCTTCTGGACTTTACACTTAATCCAGGACGTGAGTTCTGCATGGACATCGAGTTTACTGGCTTATTTATGGACGCCCCAGTTAGCTTACTCCTACGACATGCATGTTGTGGAACAGTGGGTCTATTTTGGTTTTTCCCACAGTGGAGCCTCGGAACCCACACTGGGAGGAGGAAATGATAGATTGGCATGATATTCTGTTCGGTTCTGATGTTGAATAAAACTGTTCTCTTTTGTGTTACCTCCAGACTTCCACAAAATGTCTTTGTAAATGTGTTTCTTGCCACAAATTACTGTCATTGTACATGGATACCTCTATAATGTTTCTGATGATTACAGCTCCAGGGTCCACCTAGCCTCATAATAATGGGTACCGGGTAATTTTCAGACTTATTAGTGATTGTCTGGGAAGACGAGGCAAGCTGGAAGGTAACTGGCCACCCCAGCTCCTGTCATGACTTAGAATGTCTGGAGGCTTAACATTTCACATCCCAGTTTTCTTTGAAGTTGGAGTGTAGATGCTTGAGAGATGAGGAACCAAATGTCTGCAGACAAATAAGGCAGATCTGTAAAACAGGAGTACACTCAAAACTCAAGTCCTGAAACAAGAGTTAAAGTCCAGAAGTGGATGCACGACCAGGACTATGTCTGCCGGAGTTTACAGCTACTGAATGCAAAGAAGAAGACGACACATCCCAACAGTAGTATCTGCAGTGTGACTGCCTTTACCTCCATAAGCACTTTCTCTTTATATATCATACCGGGCCATTCTAAACACAGCACATCAACTTTGAAGCACTGGTGAGAATTTTACATGCTTGTACCAGAATCACATATATGTATACAACATTTTTTTTTTTTTTTTATTGTGAGTTGGTTCTCTGGTTTAGGTTTAGAAATTTAGCTCGCACATTTGATCTCCAGTTGTTTTGTGATCATCCACACAAAATGTATTCTTCATAATTTAAAGTCCATTTTTTGTGTGTATTGCTCATTTTCATTGTTTTTTTTTTTTTTTTTTTTCAAATATTGTGCAAACCAATATTTTTGACTCATTTTAATGGGGTCCTAATGGAGAAATGATGCGCAATACAAGACTCTTAATGTCTATTAGCCTCTCTTGCTCAAGCCTACCTCACCTTCACGCGGTGGACCCTGTTCTTCCCAGCAATCCAGTTGAAGGTTGGGGTCTCAACCCCCAGCAGGAAACTGGATGGGACAAAAAACGAGGTAAAGGCGAAGGGATGAGCCTACTCTCCCTCTCAAGAGATCCTGAAGTCGGAAATCCTGGGCCAGACGGCGGATCAAAAACACAGTACTATGCAACCCCACGCTATATATATTATTACACTCATTTCAATGTGTTTTCATATTTTGCAGACCAATATTTTGACTCATTTGAATGTGCTTTCATATTGTTCAAACAGATATTTTTGAATCATTTGAATGTGTTTTCATATTTTGCAGACCAATATTTTGACTTATTTGAATGTGTTTTCATATTGTTCAAACAAATATTTTTGAATCATTTGAATGTGTTTTCATATTTTGCAGACCAATATTTTGACTCATTTGTATGTGTTGTCATATTTTGCAGGCCTTTTTGGCTGTCACCAAGACAGTCAATTGTGATTACTGTAGCACCAGCTTTTGATGATTATGCCCAAGAAGTGAGTAGTAGCCTGCTGACATATTGCCATATAATATGTTATAAGAATTTTGAACAGAACTGTTAAATTTTAATAGTTTGTTTTGAATCATAGAAGTCACAACAAGCTCTCATTTATATCAATGACCCTTCTCCAGTAAAAAACCTACACAGATGCACTCAAAAGTGATAGAATCGTTGTTGTATCTAGGCCTTCAACAGCATACAGTATATTCACTACATGGACATTAGTTTAAAGGAGTAGGGGGCTGGTGGCTGGCCGAGCGATTATAATGCCGGGCTCTCAAGCGGAAGACCCGGGTTCGACTCCCGGTAAGGTGATGGCGATTTTTTGTCTGGGGCAGAATTAAACATCTTAACCTGCACAGTCCATGGTGACAGCAGTAGCCATGCTGTCCCCAATCTTCAGGCACATAACTCCACCCTCCGTTTACACCACCCTAAACAGGCAGTAAAACAGACAGTAGTGGCAGTTTTTTTTTTTTTTTTTTTTTTTAAAGAAGTGGGTTTCAGCCATTAAATGGCTATATCATTTAATGTTCTGTGTCATTTGTTGTGCTATTCTATACTGATGAAGGCTCTTTGGCTGCAATATTCATTTTTTCGTTCACTCAAGTTTGTATTTGTTTTCAATTTTAAAATAAGCTGAAAATTTCACCTTTTCATTCTGGTTAATTCATTCATTGTAGTTTTGCATCAAGTTTAATATAAGCCTTACCCCAAATATAAGCCCTGGTCGAGATCTTCAGGCAGATAGATATTTTTCTGTACTTCATTTAAACATGGCGAACTTATTGAAAAATGAAAATATAATTGAATATTGTTGTTGACTTTGTGATAATATAAATTATAATTAAGTATTTGTAAAATAAAGTCATAAATAATATACAAATTAGATATACCCCAAAAATAAGCCCTAAGACGTCTTTTGGAGGAAAAATTGATATAAGAGTGGTCTTACATTTTAAAGATACGTTTAGTCACTAGGTCTCCAGACCATATAACATCCAAAGAAGAAGATCTTGAAAATTAACTCTGTTACCCCCCCCCCCCCCCCCCCCCACCCCCGCCCGCCCCAATTCCTTCAGAACTTCTTCCTCTTCTAATTTGCATTTACAAGCTGTAAACTCTGGCAAAAAGTCCTGGTTGTTTGTCCGCTTCTGAACTGCAGTCCTGTTCCAGAACCTGAGTACTACGTGGGCATCCATTTTACAGATCTGACTCATTTGTATGCAGACTGTTGATTCCCTGCCTCTCAGGCAGATGCACTCTGACTTCAAATGAAACTCCCAATTAGCCTACTCTTACGACATGCTTTTGGGTAGGCAGTGGGTCTATTCTTTCTTTCCCTATAATAGGGCCCTGGAACCCACAAGGGAAAGACCTTCAATGATAGATCAGTGCTGTACATTAGCCTTTAAAAAATTGTTGACAATGAGAGAACACATTTGAACCAATGATTGACTCTTGCTACAGGTCATGAAACAGATTCATGCTGCAGGGTTCCTGTGTGAGCATGATCTTGACCAAGGCACCACCATGAATAAGAAAATACGCAATGCTCAACTGGCACAGTACAACTTCATTTTTGGTGAGTATTTCTTTGGTAGTTGTTTTTTCCCCCCCTTTTGTCACTATTGTATGTCTTGTAAAGTGATTTGCCTGTCACTGTTCTGCGAGATATTTGGCTGGCCAGCCCCAGCCTTTCTGATCAGGCAGTTCTTTCATGCTTGCATTTTCTAGCTGTTAAATGCTTCCATAAACCTGCAAATCTGCAGGTGTGTGTGTGTGTGTGTTTCTCATTGTCTGTCCATGCAATTGAGTCTTCCCAGCTCAGGAGACTCGACTGATGGCTACTTGACAAAATGATTCTAAAAAGCTTAATGCTGTGGTTTATTCACTGCAGATCGGAAGGTTGTGGGTTTAGGTCCTGACGGAGCCAGACTTTGAAGAAAAATGACCTTGTCTCCCAGGCTGACCCAGCCTTGAATGGGTATCAGGTATGGTCCAGGGGAGTAACGGCGGCTAGCGTGATGTTAACCACATCACCCACCTGAGTGCCGAGTGGTCTGTAAATTATAGATCTAACCCTATATGCCTCCTTAAGGCGTGGAAAAGCTTCTTTTACTCTTAATTACTAATTGATTTATTCAAAAACTATCCTATTGTGCCATTTTATCACGTCAGTCCCTCCATTTTTTCTGATACGTGACATTTTTGGGGATATCGTGTTGAATCTGGTCTCGTCCTCTCAGCGGTTATTGTATGTTTTCTCATGGATGTTCCCACACCAAAACCCAATCTTATTGCCACCCACTAAGCAGTGCACATGTCTGGCCACTGACTTCCACAGTGTAATATTTTTTTAAAATTTATTGTACCATTGTAAAATATGTTAGCATAAATAATGAGTTTTGAAAGACAAAGATATGTGAAACGGTAAATGTTTAGTACTATTTCCTAGGGGGAACTACAGTGGTATGGTGGCTAGACGCTCACCTACCAGCCCAAAGGTATTAGGTTCGAAGTGGGTGGGTTTGGAATAAATTGACCTTGGCTGACAGGTTCACCCAGCCAAAATGGGTACCAGGGGAATGTCGTGGGAGGTAAAGGTGGCTAGCACAATGTTGAGCACATCACCCATCAAGTGTCGATTGGTCTAGAAAAATGTGAGGTAGCTCACATGTGGCTGATACACCACTGGCAGGACAAGCATCTGTTATACCTTCTGTTTACACTGCCTCCTAGTGGTGGTTAGCACAAAGTCATTCTTCTTTGCTACAGTCACCTTTAAAAGTGCATTTGGCATTTTATGTTAGGTTTACAGCTAGGCTGGGATATTTTCAGCCTGTGGTCCCCACACATACAGTTTCACAAGACTCCTAATTACTTACCTTTTACGGCATGCATGTTAGGAGTCTGGAGATTTATATCCCCCCCCCCCCCCCACCCCACCCCACCATCTTATCCCAATGGGGCCCTGGAACCCACACTGGGAAAGAGAAGTCTGACAAGGAACATCTGACTGATCACACACACACACACACGTACTCACACAGATGAGACAGTAAGAATGATTTGATTGTTGTGTGTTCAAAATAAGATTTGTTTTAGAGCGCTTAAAAAATGATTGCATACAAATGTTTATGTTCCATAGTGGTTGGTGAGAAGGAAGTCGCCAACAAGACTGCCAATGTCCGCACACGTGACAACAAGATCCATGGAGAGCACAGCATCGAGCATATAATAGCTCGTTTCCAGGAGTTTAAGAAGACTCGATGCATGGACTCTGAGGACACTTTTTAGATGCGCTGTTGACATTCAATGAGCTATAGAAGAAAGTACAAACTGCAGTAGGGTCGCTTACAGAATCTCATGAGCAGTCATGGCTGATTTAGAAACAAAATCTAACCTAAATAATATTTAAGAAAACAAGTGAAGGAATGAAGATACATTTTTGAGAAGCTCAGTTCAGTTGATATAAAAATATCTTTTGAAAAACAGCAGTTACAATTCTTTTTGTTGCTATAATACTGAAGCATATTGACTAGTTATCTGTTATGTTTGTGCACATTCAAATGGATACATTGTTAGAAATTCATTTTTCTTGTTAACTTGTTTTGCCCCATTTGAAGAAATATTTTGTCAAGCTCACTGTTCTTTAATCAGTCATATTTCCTGTTATCAGGATTTCCACTTTCAGCTCTTGTACACAGGCTATTGTTAACAGTTTTTATCTGCACGATTCACATTTAAAAGTTTTTTTTGTATGTTCTTAAATATCAAACTGATTATGGCATTCTATACTGTCTTCTGTTTCTTTTTTTCCTCAGTCCTTTTTTGTCTTTCATTGCCAGGTTTTTAAGAAGCATCTGGTGCCTGCCTTGGCTGTGTGTTATGTAGATGCTGGTATTCACTGCCTCATATATTGCACCTATCCATCGCTTGCGTAGGCAGCCTAGCTCTGCTTCCTTTGTGTCTAAGTGACAGGGCTCTCTGAGGTGCACTGTATCGTGGTAGTCTTGACATATGTCAGAACTGTTTGATCTGTTGTCTCTTGAGGCAGTCCATCATTGGTTCCATCCTAACTTGTTTTTTGATATTATTTTCTTCTTTTTTTTTTTTTTCATGTTTACCAACTCTAAATTCGAGCAGAAAGTTTTGGTTGTTTCTCTACTTCTGGGCTATAGTCTTGTTTCAGAACTAGAGTTTTGCATGCTCATCCAGATCTGGCATTATTTGTAAGTAGAATTTTGATTCCTTACCTCTCAGGCATTCAAACTTCGACTCCTTACTAGTCGACTCTTTTAATATGCTTGCTGGAGGGTGCAGTGGGCACATTCTTTGTTTTCCCCCCAGCATGAGATCCCAGAATCCACACAAGGAATCATAATTCATAATATTTCAGTGCTGCACAACCTTAACCAGCTTACACTCTCCTGTCTCTTGATGTCTCCTGCAACTAACTTATACTCCCTAAATTATTTGTCTCTCTCTGTCTTCTGCCTGTGCTTTTAGGTCTCCCTCCAATGGTTTTTAGAGAGGGGGTTCTAATCCAATACTCTACATCAGCGTTTATGTCTTACTCATCATCAACTTCAACTTCTGCTGTTAAGTGTCATGGGGAGCAACAATTTGTGATCACTTGCTTGCTGGGCAGTAATAGCTGTTGTCATTCTGTGTCGATATAGAAGCTCTTCAATGTCACCTTAGTCTTCTCCTACACCTGAGTGTAACTAGAGGGTCTGGCTCACTACACTCAGAGGAAAGGCAATTCGGACATGTAACCAGATTACAACCGGTACCATTAGTATTGGAACTCTGTGCTGGCTGCTGAAGATGAGGATGGAGCACGCATGGGAATGCCCCGAGTGTTGTGATGTCAATTCTTGACTCAACTCAGCGTCTCCTATCTCCTAGGGTGGCTTCTTGCTTTCCTATCACATCCTTCCATGTGTAGTGCCTACGTTGCTAGTTGTTCCAGTTGCATTCTTACTAATG